TATAATAATACTATTTTATGAGACAGTATTTACTATACATATAAGCTATACAGAAATATGTTTTCTGAAAAGTGGCCTGAAAACAGTTTGGGTACAATAACCAATTTAAACTAATGTAATAAATAAAAAGAATAAAATATCAGTACAGATTGGATGGGTATTATCTTTTCAGAACATTCATTGATCACTTTTCATTTGCTTTCAAATATGATATTTATGACTAGGTCAACATTATGCAACAGAAATAAAAAGTGAACCATATATATGATTTCAAAATTTTTAATGGGCACATTTTAAACATGTAAAAAGAAGTAAAATTAATTTTAAAATCACATTTTGTTAATCCTCAATGGCCAAAATATTATTTCAGTATGTATCAATATAAAATTATGTTTTTATTCCTTTTCTTCAGTTTTCTAAATCTAGTGCATGTTTGGTACCTCAATTCTATCACTACTATTTCCTATGAAATACTTTATTTAGGTGTCATAAAATTCAGTGTAAAAAGTAGATGCATATCCACAAGTGGTTGAATATTTGAAATCCATTTAATAATAATCTAGACAAATACTTGGATGTTTGCATTTAATTAAAAATTTAGTACCATGGTCACACTGGCCACATATCTAACGCTCAAACTCTCTAATGGGTGAAAGTCGCCATATCAAATTCGAGGCCTCAGAAAAGGGTAGGCAATAGGAGAGGAGTATTTGTCCAAAGGATATAGGATTTGCCAATCTCAAAACTACTTTTACACATCAAAAGCAAAATTTGAAGAACTGAGTCTTTTAAATAGAAAGCAAGGGAAATAATGTAAGGAACAGTGTGTCAACCTAGGAGGAGAGAGAAGATTCTAGGGGATGGAAGGACATGTGGTAGCTGTGTGTACTTGGGCAAGCAACCTTAGTTTGAAACCCAGAGAAGGACGTGATTCTTGAATAACAAAACCTGGAACGACTTCTGCCTCATTTCTGGCTTGAAATTGGGAGAATTCACTCTTTAAAGTGCAGAGAGATGAATCAAAGAATGGATCAGACACTGCTGAAAGGAACCTGCATCCCACCTTGGGCTACAGGGAAGATCTTTTGGAGACTAAATGATCTTTACTGCCTGTGAGCTTAGATATACTGAATCAGCATGAAGCCACAAAGATATTAGTATTGGCTGTCAGACGTTTGTCTCAGTGACACAGTGAGCATTCCCATGACAGTGGAGGCCAAAAAAGACAGAGAGGTACTTCATAAATCAGTCCTGCGTCACTACTGACAGTTTGCTTCCCATATCAGTCATGAGATCTTATAGACTTCCGACTAGACTGCAGTATTGTCTTGTTAAAAGTGAGAAGCTGTGAGTAACTTAGCATCTTTTCCTGATTCCTCCCTCCCTATCCAAGTCCTACTCAGAGTGAAGTTTAGATCATTATGAAAATGGAATAGCTGCTTCCTTTGCACAATCTAGATTGCAAATATACAAATTTTATGACATTTGTAGGAACAGAAAGTTGTGTTACCTTAGGATGCATGGCCTGTGCTTCTCTAACAAATGACAGATTAACAAGAGAACACATAATCAATGTGTCTCATCAAGTTTTAAGTAACACAAGAAACCTAAGAAATGACACGTTTTATACTTAGGTTCAGTGAAGAATGGGCAATCTTGTAGAAATAGGATAGGACAAAAAAATGAAGTTTTTATGGTTCATGACTTTCCTTAGGGAAGAAGCATTCTGGCTTTTTATGGACTTGCTTCTGGGGATAAGGGAAGAATTCTTCCACTTGTTTCTGTGTAAAATAGGGGGCACAAGAAGGTCAGAGATCAATATTGTTTTTGAGGCCTCTCAATCTCTTAGTTCAAACTATTCATCATGACAAGGCACCATACTATATATTTGTATAAGCAAAGAGAAAGATATAGAGGAATCAGGCTACTTGCTGGGGGAAAGTAATTAGCTTTTGTTTTCTGCATGCTAAATGACATCTGTTGAATGAATAAAGAATGCTAATATGGCTGAGTGGGTTGACCTGTAAGATATGGAGCATGCACTGGCCCTTGAGGATTGTATAAATACCATCCTGATCCAGTCAGATCAACATTTAGCTACGTTTTGACATCTGGTTAACCTAGATGATTTCATAAGTGAATTAAAGACCAGGAGAACGTAATAAATTCCTATCCTGTATCCAGTTTGCCTAATAGATTATTATGCCATGATTTCCCCTTCTGCAAATTGGGAATAATAGACTTTCTATAAAGATAACACAATTAGGTTGATTAAAATACACTTACATGTATTAAGTACCACAGTTGCCAAGTATGAGTCAAAATTCTTTAATTTTTCTTTTGTTACATCTGAGGTGATTACATTGCAGAAAAACCCATGTGCTATATAACACACTGCTATAATCCACTTTAAAGTTATATCTAAATCTTGAAATTCCCATAACCGTTGGAAATCCAGTCACTTCCCATTTGCTATGTGATTCTGAGCATTAAGTAGGGATCTGATATAGGAAAATACAAATCTCTGACTACTTATAGATGCTTTTTTAGTGGTTTGGATAGAGAGTATTTCGGGACTTTCTGTAAGCCTTGCATGAGTCACTAGGGCAATTTAGGACACAACTGAAAAACATCAGAGGGTTGTAATTTAAGCCTATCAGTCACTATAGGCCTCTACAATTTTAACAAGAGCTGAGTGGTACCTCAGATGGCCTTTGGGCAGAAAGAGAACAAAACCATTTATCAAAGCCATATTGATTCTTTAGGAGATTTTGTACACGTGTTATAGTTGATCTATTTCCCCTTTACCCCTAATGGCAAAGCTCAGATGGAGCCTCAGTTCTGTGAGTAGGAGACTGTCATCTGCCTATGTTTAATCCTCTCTCTCTCTCTCTCTCTCTCTCTCTCTCTCTGTCTCTCTTTATTTTGTTTTATTTCATTTCATTTTATTGTATTTATTTTGGTACTGGGAATGGAGCTCTCATTTTCTGACTCAGTTTATGTGGGTTTTTTTTTTACCACTTATCATCCCCAAAGAAATCAATGGAGAAACAAGAAAGGAAAAGTAAGATATTTAAGTACTTAAGATTCAGAAGTATCTGAGTGTTTTCCTCCTACTTCCACTTACAACCTTTTCTCTCAACAGTAGCACCTCAATTTGTTCAATCTTCATAGTAAACTTAACCTTGATTCAATTTTGTCATTTATGCAAAGAGGGTAATAATGATAACTTATACAGTCGAGGATTATATTGGATAATATAAATGCTTAGGATATTACCCTAAATTGTGAGCACTCGCTGGATGACAGCTATAATTGATATTAATGGTATTTATATTATTTGATTATCTCATATGTATTTTGTCCTAATAAGGGTAGGCTATCTTTAGTTTTGAGAGGTAAAGAAATGCAAAGGGAAAGAATCATTAAGTCTCTTGAAAACTGTATTAAAGAAAATTCCAGCAGTAAATCCCACCCTCTATTCATATGCACCAGTCATGCATGGAATTGCTTTATTGGCTGCATGGCTGGCAGCTAGAATCCTCATGATATCCCTGCCTTGTTATGCCTGCAGACATAGCTCTTCAACATCTCACAGAATGGTGAAAGTACCTTTTCCTCCTTTATGTCTCTTCTTATTTCCTTCTCATGAATGCTTATCTCCTATGACTGAACTTGTTAAGCTTTTAAAAGGACAATCTCAGAATACACTGGCCTAGCTCTAAAGGAAGAGGACAACCTGAAGGCAATCCAGATTTTTGTTTCCATTGATGTATGAGGACCTGGGATAGACTGCAAAGAGCCGAAACCTGGCTAGAGTAAAAACTTACACTATTTGAACTGTTTAAATATTCATGTAGCTATCAGTACTGTATATTTTGCCTAGAAAAAAACAATACAGAAGGTAATTATTGAATTTTACAACATTCTAAAATGCTTGTGAGGAACTAATTTTGGTTTATTCTCTTAGGTAAACATATTTTTTATTCAATTCGGGACAGTAGTCAAGTGATTATATCTATTTCTAACTATTTTTCTGAGTAATAATATCAGCATCAGATACTATCATTAACACCATAAAATCTAATCTAAAATTGTACCATCAAAGCCATCTTTCTGTTAATCATTTAACTATTGACTTGAATAAAAATTGGCACATTCTAAGTATAGTCTATAGGTTTGCTTATAGAATATTACTTGGTTTAAGTTATAAACAATTGAGCTATAGCATTAATAAGATTAGAAGGACCAAGTTATTCTTGAGGATGGCATCTTACAATTTATACATGTGTATTTCATTCATTACTATGAATTGACACTGTATGCTTTTCATTAGTTTATATGGAAATGCCAAATATATGCATCAAATCATTGTTTTGTTTTTAGTTACATTTCCATCATTAAAATTTTCTTTGTTGTCCTACTTTTTGCTGATAAATTTAAACAGAGTAATTCTGAAATTTCAAATAATAACATAAAAGTAAATATTGGCACTAAATTGAACCTTAAATTCCTTCTTCAAAGTAATATTTTCTTGGCAGAAATTTCCATTTTATCTTTTCTGGCTGTATTCACTATTCTGGTTTTATCAAGTATGCATCTTCCCCGTATGTTATATAAAAGATGAAAGCATTAAAAATACCAATTTTCTCATTCTAATAGTATTGTTGCAGTTGATCTAAAATATAAATTCAAGTCATACTAGAAAAGATAAATTAAAAATTGGGGAGGGGGAGGCCACTTGGAATATCTATGGTCAACATTCCTAGATAATTAATAATTATTTTATAGGAATTGACCAAAGATATAGCCTTATCTTTTAACTAAATAATTGCTACTTAAACTCTGCTTTTAAAAATTTTCTTTCAAAAAATACACAAATTATGGTTAATGATTTGAGCCATATATATATATCTGTGTGTGTATATATACATAATGTAATATGAGTAAATATGAAAGAGAACTTCATGAAAAGTCATGTTTTTTACTTACTGTTTCAGATGTACATTACCAACACAATCAAAGCCAAAGGAACCAGACTTGCTAAGCCAGTTCTATGCTTGGGATTAATGTGTTTAGCCTTTCTTACTGGACTCAACAGAGTAGCAGAATATCGAAATCATTGGTCAGATGTGATAGCAGGCTTTCTGGTTGGAATATCTATAGCAGTGTTTCTGGTAAGTACAAATTTATTTAGATATTTTTAAAATTAATTTATATAATTACCTACAAGAACATACAAGGGTGAATCCCTGAGTGTATCTTAATGTAATATATCAAATGGTAATATGCATGTTTTAAATCATGACTTCCTCCACATTTGTTCTGCTTAAAATCAGGTTTAAAATAAAAAAAAAGAAAGTTGTGCACCTCAAAGTGAACAAAATACTTTCACATAAATGGAGCAGGGCTAACAACAGTCCTCCCTGGCTAGTTTTTGAGACTGGGTTATTTAGACATTTAAAAAATTTCCTTAGAATATATATCAGTCAAGATTTACTAGAGAAACAGATATAACACAAGATATGCAAATGCATAAGAATTTATAAGATTGACTTACAATGGTCAGCCACAGAGTTGGATGAGGGAGTTTGCAGAGGGTGTCTGTGTCCTGGAGGTTGAAGGGTCCTGCGCAGGCCTGGAGCTTACTGCAGTGTCCACTGCAAGTCCCTTTCAAGAGGCCAATGGGTCTGCAACAGAACACCAAAGAATTTAGATAGAAAGATGAAGAGTATACCTCAAAGGCTGAAGAGTCTCAGGCAGAAGCAGAACAATCTGTGCCAGAAGCCAGGAGACAGAGGATGCTCAAGCTGAAGGGGAAGACTGGAGCTTCTCCTAAGAACCAGCAATCAGTCCTTCCTCATTTGCCTTTTATTGTTTGCAGGTGGCCCCCGCCCCTGAGGTGGGCATAGCACTCACACAGTCTGGATCCCTCCTCTTACACAGGCTGAAGATGTTACAATCTAGGATCTCTCATCCCCAGCTGAATCACTTAAACTTCTGACCTTGAAAACTGACACAGTAGCAATAGGCTAGAATGGTAAGGGCTTGTCCCTTTACACCCGAGGATATAAAGCTCCTGAGTCAATTAAGCTTCTAGACTTCTCAAACTGACACAATATATAAACTGTAACAGTATGGTTTATATTTGGACTATTTAAACACCTCAGAGTTCCCTATCCCCTTGGCCCTGTCTTCTGCCAGAACCTGCATCTCATAGACTTCTGACAATGCTGCCGTCTGATGTGGGCCATTTCATTTCCAACTAAACATTTCCAGATACTTTCTAAGGCAGCGCAATCATATTTTATTGTGCAGTCAGCATTCTAGGAGACTAATAATGAAGTAGACAGATCTGCTTCTGTTAAAAAATATCCTTAGACTATTTATGTAGGTACTGGTTGTGGAAAATGTATTTTAAAGTTTATCAATATGTTGTAAATGTTGTTATATAGTATTTTACATAGTTGACAAAATGAACATAGTATGAATCAAGATGTAGCTCTGTATATACATATTATAATTAAAGAAATACATCATTTCCACTTTTATTATATTTGAATTGCTTTTTACTCTAACCTTTCCTTCCTCAACATTCTTGTACTAGTTTATAATCCTTAAGAAAAATATATATGAAACTTTCTAGTTGATGAATGTTTGAATGCAACTTATGCACTTTTATCTTAAGTAGGTTCCTCAAGATTTTTCTTTGGTAAGGTGGTGATTAGGACCTGATATCTGTTCTACATGCTACACGTGTGTGTGTGTGTGTGTGTGTGTGTGTGTGTGTGTGTGTGTGTGTGTGATGTCATTCATTTTAACTGTTAGGGACACTGGGAAATGTAGGCCCAACCCTCTGTTAAAACAAGAACAGCAACCAAACTGAGATGAGTTAAATTTAGCAAAGTTTGAGGGAAAAAAATTTAAAACTGAATGATATTGCACACCAAAGTTGAATCACCCATTTTAGTACATGTATGGGTTATGTTTATAGCCAAAGGAAATGAAAAGACATAAAGGAACAACTTGATTGACTGTGTTCAGCATTTGTCTTGTATAACTGTATTTTGGCAGCTTGCAGCCTCTGATTGAATGGAAGATCAGGTATATCAATAACTAAGATTTAGTTGATTGGTTGCGGGAGAATGGTTGTAGATTAGGTTCCAATCTATTTACATACCAAGTTAGAATATTTATCACTATATACAGAGACTGCTTTAGACCAAATTTTGTCATCCAAGTGCAGAAACAGATCAAACTTACCAATGTAGCACCTAATTCTTAGAGACATCCTGGAGGTTCATAAATAATGGGACCCAGACTTTAGCCAAACCTTCCTTGATTTCACTCACCACAGCTGAAACTGGTTAACAATGAAAACAAAACAAAACTATCACACATAAATCTTAAAAATAAGTGGAGAACGCACCAGTAGTAAAAACTTCGAAAAAAACATTAATGTATTTGAGCTCCTCAGGTGCAGAATTTATTCCCTGGCATCCCATCAGTCTTCCTGTTGATCTCCTTTGGTTGCTTCCTGCCATCTTCCCTAGCCATCTGAATAGCTTGCAAAGCCAAAACCAAAGTCATGGTACCTTCTTGTCACTCCCCAATATGAGAAACACGTAGTGAATGTTAAGGTGTACTATGGACCCTCATTGTGTATATACAAGAACTCATTGAGCACATTCAGAACACGTCAAGAGTACCTTTCAGACAATGCCACATATCCAAGAAAATGGCTTCATGCCAAGGTCTTGCAAAGTTAGTGACGACCATATAATAACTAAACACACATTTATATGTTCATTTTCAAGAATTTATGAGTGTGGGTCCCTATAGGTACAAAGCACTTTGCCAAGAAATGTAGATACAAGGAAATTCAGATAAACATGACATATTTCCAAAAGAATCAAGTAATAACTGGAATTATTTCATTAATGACATTTCCTTTTCTTCCATCATAAAGCCATGCATATATTCTAATCTAGGCACTGTGTTTGATGCTGGGCACAAACAGCTGAAAAAGATATAGTCCTGTACTCTGAAAGAGATCAGAGCCTAGTGGAAAAAGCAGACATAAAGTTTTAGAGGATTAAGTGTAATGATAGAAGTACCACTAATCAAGAGATGAACTTTGTTGGGTTTAAGTACAGACCAAAGATAGGTGGTATCCCAACTTTGCTTTTGTAAGCTCTTCAAGTGTGTAAAGTAAGTCAGTATAGGCTTGACACATGCGCTGAGAGGTGAAGATCACAGTGCACAAAGGCAGGACAAGATTCATCATAACCTCAGCACAGACAGCCCCTGCTGTGTTCCAGTGGCAGGCACGGCTTGCTCATATAGGAACATAGCAGTTTTCTCTCTTGCATGACTGACAAGAGATGAGACTGTTAAAGGACATGGGTGAGGTATCCCGCATGACCTTTTTGTCATGATAATTACTTGTTTTTCTGTTTAAAAATTACATAATTCACCGTGAGACCTCAACTGACTTTAAACAAATACAGTCTAGCTGAATCACTTTACTCAAATACTCAGCTTATGCCATTGAGTTATTTGTTTATCCCTTTAGAACTTCAGTATCTCCTTTTAAAAATAAGATTAGCTATACCCTCCCAAAAGACTCATTCTTAAGAATTACAAAAATTAAAAGACATAGTGAATGTTTGGTTAGTAGCTACCTGAATGACAAATAAGTCCTATAAATTATAATTTTGTCTCATTTCCTTTTTCTGTATAGTACGTTTGAGCTTTGAAGTATGTTTGCTGGAAAATAAAACTCCAAGTAAGACTAGAAGAGACAGGTTACACAGAGCCAGGGAAATAAAATGGTGCAAATTGGACCTCAGTGGCACCAAGAGAAAAGATCCTTAGGAGGACAGGTGAATGAATTGGTGAGGTAGAACAGATCACAGCCTGTGGGCACATTGAAGGTGATTCAGGCAAGGCAATGGGAGGGAGCAGTCTATGGTGACTACCCAGTTTCTCATTTGGACAACTCAGCAGGACATTTATTTTAAGCAATGTCTTTAGCTTTGGCTTGCAACATCCTGGAATATTTCCAGTTATTTTGCAGTGTGCGTAGGATTCTAACATGATTCCAAAATAAAATTAACATTAACTTGCTCCAAGCGTCTTTGGCTCTGTTAACGCCCTGCCACCATCCCCAGACTCTTGGCCTAGCATTTGTCTTTGACTCATTCTTCTGGTTCATCCACCACAACCAGTGATTCATCTAATCCAAGTTCGTTTCCACTACAAAATCCATTGCTTCCATGTCTTATATCTTTGCTCCTCCGATCAGAATCTCTCACTCTGGAGATTATTATTTCTCAGCTGTTATGTGCATAGGTTCTTAGCTGCTTCCTCACGTCAGACTTTCTTCCTAATACCACCCTTCCACCAGTCTGGCCTATGCCCATTACAACAACCTACTGCTAAAAACCAAACCAAACCAAACTTCTTTCCTACTGTATCAAAACCAGGCACTTCCATTGGATTCCTACATCCTCAATAACCTAGCTGTAATTTTTCTGCCAAAATTTATGTTCCCCTCTTTACTATGTATATAAATCATACACTTTGAGTTTAATCAACTTTATTCCCTGTCACAAACAAGATCTGCCCACCTTGTACGTTTGTTTCAGTAGGCATGTTCCTTCTTCAGAATAGAGGACTAGTGAGTCAGAAAAATCTCCCTCTGAATGCTGCTTTTGCTTCTTCCTATATGTATGACTTCGTCCTGCCAATTAGCTCCTCATTATTCTTAAATAATGAGTCCTTTCCTGACCTGTGTATAAACCAGCTACTCCTCCTCAAAGACAATTCCTTTCCTCAGTACCTGTTTTGCTTTTCTCCATTACACATTTCAACTTTAACATTTTTGTTTTTTTATTTTGCTGTTGATTCTACTACAATGTAAGCTTCTCACAGAGAACTTGTCAATTTGATCTATTTCATATCCCCAGTAAGTAACAGAGTCTGACACATAAGGGGTGCTTAGTAAATGAGGAATGAATAAGTAGGCATTTTTTTGTTTTGCTTCCTTGAACTCTTTAAATGTTAAATGAATTTCCAAAGGTAGTAAGTACAGACTAGGTCCTGGTACCAAGATAGTGCTAAGGCTCATGATCCTCACCTTTGACATCTACAATGTACTTAAATACTTTGGCTC